TGATTTCTTGAAAATGGCTGAATGGATTTGGACAAAAGTTGGTATACATTTTTGACTATGACCCCAACTTAGAAGTGATTAATTTTGGAGGGTCAAGATCACAAAAATCCAAAAAATAACCCTATTTGTTAACATGGGGACTGATTTTTCACACTATCTTTGTTCTAGAACTCAGTCAAAAATGATAAAATTTTGATGAAACTTGGTGGAAATATGTAGAATATTATTCCTCGTTGTTCTGCCAAAAACGGTCCGTGTCCATTGATAATGACGGACATACAGACACATTTTCGTATTTTGTTTGAGAGCCAAATACAATCAACATTGCATGGCAGAGGTATGCGCTCAACTGAGTGCTCCTTTAATTAATTGTATTAACTAAAACAGTACTTTGATTGGCAGCATACCACCTTGCCGAGTTAGAATTTGTCTGAAGAAGTGATAATTGGGACTATGTAGGATTCGAGGCTATGAACTCTGCAAATTTTCACACTTAATAACCTACAAAGTTAAAACTAAGGCTTGAAACATTCAAGACGTGGCAAATTGCTTAAGCGGCTAAAACACCTGCCCAATAAGAAGTTTCAGTTTCAAATCCCACTTTTCATTTCACCAACAAAATTATAGCAAAGTTTAGGAGTTTATTCTGCAATAAATAGTACAAAATGATAACCTTTCAGAATCTACGTAAATTAAATCAACAATTTCCAACATTTTCATTCTGAATTAAATTTTTTACCAGCATATTTAAAGCTGCCAAACATTTTTGTCTTATCAGATACATTTTTCCATTGCCTTATGTGGTGCTCGGTGTAGAACTTTTCACCAGGAGTATCCCACTGACATTTTAAATACATTTTCCCACTGAATTGTTTGTGGATCCACGACGTTCTTATTTACAGAGTCGCTAATAACACAAATCATAAAAAATGTAAAAGAAAAATTCCATAAAATATGTGATTAATCTCAATCCCATAAATTACTGATGTATTTCAAACAGAAAATTTGTGATTTAACCCAATTTTGAGAGGTTAAAACATAACTCATTATGACACAACATATGGACACCACTGATAACGATTAGTACAAAAAAAAACATTTTGAGAGTTAATGTTTCAGTTGACTTCCCATTTAAAGAAGTTATGTCAAAACTTAGCAAAATGCAGACATTCTGATAGATTCATATTTTTACACACCAATTCAAAATTTTGAAAATTAACAAATAAGAAACTGATTTATTTTTGCTCCTCATGCCTGTAGGGTTAAAGGTCGTGTTTCAAATTTTTTAATCAATATGTCCAAATTCAGTTACCATTGTAAGTGGGGGTAACACGTCCAGACTTGCCCAGAGATGACCTGTTACTGGATCCCCGGTCAAATTCCTCTTCCTCCCATGGTCGGGGTCGATCCATTGCCCGAGATGGTGCTGATGAAACAGAACATTATTAAATCCCTGATGTTTTACGCTGCTGAGGAAAGTCTTACCAACAGAAATATTCAAGTCCAACAGTATGACTGTATATAAACTGGACAACTGTTTTAATACCAAACTAATATGAAAATTGTTTTTCAGGCTAATTCAGTGTTTTTTATAGTAAGAATTAATATCAATGACAGGAACCTGTTTTACAATTCATTCTGAAAAATTACATTAAAATTTCATGAATAACTTTTAAGAACACATAAGCATGATCTCTATTCAACCCCTAAAAAAAAAAGAAAAACATCATTATCTTAATAACCTACAGGCATTGACAGGGCTATCATAGCGAAGCTTAACGGGAACCTCTCGATTGGCTGAAGGAGTACGAGAAGCACTTCGAGGATCAACGTGAGTCATCTTCCAAGCTCGTATCTTTTCTCTCTCTTGCACAGTTTTCAAAAACACCTGAGGAGGTTAAAATCTATCAATCTAGCGTATGATTGCAGATATTTCTTTCAGAGAATTAGTTAACATTTTTGTAGTTGCTCTACAAACTTTAGTTAAAGATCTCCGCACATACAGAAACACAATACAATGTGTTAAAAGATTATTATATATAATATACATTTCTCACAAAAACCACTTAAATAAGTACCTTTTTTATCTAAAGACGTAAAAGTTTATTCCCATTTTCTTTTTTTTGAAAAACTAACTAGATTAGCCAAATCTTAACATTATCTATTGGAGACAGATACGAAACAGCAAAGTTCCTGATAATATACGTTGATACTAGCCTTGCCAATCCCACTTGATATCTTAGACAGTTCTTCTTCCTCTTTCTTTAAACGTGGATCTTCCTTAACTCCTTCTTCTTCATTCATATCAGTGGTTTCATCAACTTCAAAGTCTTTGGAGCTACCACTCCAACGTCTTCTACATTCTATGTTACACAAATTTGTTAGGTGAGGTTTGAATTAACAATGTAAGTAAAATTAATAGTAAAAAACATAGCCTCTGCATTACAAAAAAAAAATTAAACTCATGATTTATAACAAGAAAGAAAAAAAACACCCACGACACCAGCAATACATGACTTGAATATGATCAAAGTAAAATTGCAAAATCAAAGTCTTTGAGCATAAAAAGTTTATAGTAACATACCATTCTATTTCTGTACCCATGGGACCACATAAGAATCAACAAACAATAAACTGTCAGAAATTCATAATTACAGCCTCTGGTATACAAGTAAGAGAGAGTATTATTTAAAGATTAAACCTAGCTAATATTTGTTATATTTCAAGAAGTATTATTTTCTCTCTTCTTGAAATAGGATACAAGGTTAAAAAGTTTTAGAGACACCTCCAGCCACTGTTTGAAGCAATGAACATACCGGAGTCGGCATAAGGAAACGGTGGAGCTGGAAAATCATCTCTTTCTATCTTGGCGACTTCTGTAGGCTTAGGACGTTGAGCTCCTGGGTAGTGGGACATTTCTATCGGTTCTTCGTTATTCATGTATGGAGATCGAGGTCGAGGAACACTAGCCTGGATGGATTCCACTATAATCAAAAATTTGTTTTTTTTCTCAGTACAAAATGAGATACATTAAAAAGAAGCGACATCTTATTTTAGTAAAATTAAACTGATGCATACTAGAAACTCATAGCAAGTGTCATAATGTTTTACCATAGAATATGTCCAACTGCTTTTACTATAAAAACACATGAAATATGAGAAGTCATAAACAATACAAAACTTCTCAGAGTTAACACAAAAGAGACTGACATGCATGAATCACTGCAGAGACCCCCAAAACAAAATTTGCAATTACAAAAAAAAAGAAGAAAAAAAAAAAGATAAATCTATAGAGCAGAAAAAAGTATTTTTATTTTAGTACTTTGACTTTTTTTTCTAAATGCTCACAGGGTTTTAAGTTAAGGCTTTCTTCCTTACCAAACAAATTAACAAAGTAATTAAATAAACGTATTTACCTAGAAATGACATTCCTGAAAACCCATCAATGGCGGCCCATCGTGAAATAAAAAGAAAGTTAAAAAATTAATAATGCACAGTAACAACTAAATTTGAATTATATTAGTATTAAAAAAAAATAAGGGATACTATGAGAATTATACAAGAGCATGATAAAATAATGACAATAAGTTAACCTATCTAAAGGTTTACTTGTTATGAACTATTTATCGCCTCAAATTTTCATTCATTTTAACTTTTGATATAGAAATAAACTAGCTGTAATTGTAAATTTTATTTAGTCAAACTGCTTACTGTTTGGTCGTAAGATGTGTTATCATCATAAACATCATCATCATTACTAGCTAATAATGCACAACTCACAAACTTTTATAGATAAAAAAAAAAAAGTTCTACATTTTTTAATAAAAACATTATCAAACTCCACAATAAAATTACAAACATTCATGATTTGTTTACCCCTGAATTCTTACAAGTGAAGCTGCTGCTTTGACTTCCGATTTAATGCATGTTCTTTTTCTGCTTTGAAAGCATCCGTATCAATCTAAAGATGTCCAGCAAATATGCATGAAAATCTGTTTAAAACCTGGAAATGTATTTCAAAGCACCAACTTAAATAAAGAAGTTTTTAAAGAAAACTAAACCACGTTTATTTGAAAACTGTACGACCAACGTAAAACCACAATAATGAGAAGTAGGCTCGATAAACTTTCACAAGATGAATGGTAACATCACTGCTGGATCTCCTCTAATGACACTACCATTGAATATCCTCTAATGCATATTTAATTTGAATGCAAACACTAACTGAATGTGCATAAGGTCTGGCCAATGGACTGAACCTGTATTGCAAAAGGAGTGTTAACTATAATTTCGAATTTACTATACAAAATGTAAAAAATTTAGTAAAATGTACAAGTCTGTTGTACACAGAAAATCTGGTGTGTTACTAAAGTATTTGTACTCAAGATATGTCTGTGAAGTGCCGTGAGTCTGACTCAGACAAGTCAGAGATTAAAGAATAAAATAAATTTTTCCATACTACATTTGTATAACCACTAGGACCTCCAAAATGTATATCAACAGTTATATTTAGTATCCCCGTACACTGTATCTGGTATGTATTATTCTCACCCACAAATTGTTACTAGATCAGCAATTTAGGGTAAAATTAATATTTGATAACTTTGATATGGAAGACATAATACCATGTTGAATGGCACTCTGTAAAAATGGTTAAGGCCCTCGTCATACATTGATCCCCATCTGTGCACATAAGGTTAATAGCTGACAAATAAACATATTCAAGCTGTTACTAATGAAGTTCTGATAAAAGCTACAGAAACACGTTTATACTTCTGAAAACACTGAACTGCACCTTCTAATGATATAGGTAAGATATGATTTGGCAATTCTGGGTTACATAAAAAAAAAAAAAATCCTCAACCCATAATCCTTTTCAAAATAATTTCCAGGGAGTTTATAAATAAACTTATAAAACCTTTATCCTGATTTTTCATGTAATTCTAAATGTACAATACCTACTTTGGTTTTGTATGCTTCAAAAATAGTCTATCTGTCAACTTCAAATATTTGATGTTTTTCATATTTAAACATAAATTCAGTGATCTTAAAATCATTGTCTTTTTTTTTTAACAATTAACTAATTATTAACTGTAATTACAAAAGTAAACATACCCTCATATGTAGAACACAACATGCTAAACCAGATCTGTCTATACTTCCTTGTAGTAAACATACTTCCATACGTAGAACACAACATGCTAAACCAGATCTGTCTATACTTCCTTGTAGTAAACATACTTCCATACGTAGAACACAACATGCTAAACCAGATCTGTCTTTACTTCCTTGTAGTAAACATACTTCCATACGTAGAACACAACATGCTAAACCAGATCTGTCTATACTTCCTTCTAGTACTGCCATATCTTGAACACAATATGACTAGATCTTTCTTACTTGTTTTCTTCAACAGAGTAAAACTTACAAGTTTATTGGCACAGAAAATAGGCCATTGTAACGACTATGAAACTAACTGTAGAATATTATACGATAATTCACTTTGTAGCCAAAGGATTACACTTACGAACATATCTGAATTTTGCCTCAAAAAGTTAACACTGATATATATATATATATTTTTAAAATTTTTTATATATTATAATTATAATCTAACTTGCCTTTCATTTATAATCTAGCTATTGCATGATTATTATCCAACCATGCAGTAACTTAACTGTATACAAGCCAAATACTTTTTTGCCAAAATCTTCCTACGCACACACACACAGGTTTTGATTAATAAAATAGTTTAATTATTCCATAAATATTACTTTACTACAAACATTACTGGCTGAATGATGGTAATGTTAATTCAAATTATGATAATAAATAAGCTGTGTGTAAAATAAATAATATTGTGTTCTTGTTATTCTGATTTGTAAATGACTTAAAACAGAATTGATAGCAATCACAATTCACTTACTTAATCTAGTCCATACCATAACAGTTCATGATAAGCTGTGGTATTGGGCATAAGGACTTGTCAACAATGGAGACGGCAGATGTAGCATGTTCGCATATTATTACATATTTTTTTTTTTTTCAGTTACAAGTTCTAAAAAACATGAAAAGTGTTGTATATTTAATGAAATTTATAAGAATATTCAATTAATATTACGAAGAACCTAAAGGACGACAAACCTTGTTTAGAAGCTGGTGTTCTAGATACTGTTGTTCTTTTCACGACATGATCTGAAACAAAGATATGTTCATCAAATTTACATAAAGTTCCAAACTTATTTGCATACAGGATAATTTTTAACCCCCCCCCCCTCCCCAGACATAAGCACTCATATTATTTATAAACATTTTTGAAATGCCATACTACAATCAACTACTCCTGTTATAATTGTGTGTGTGTGTGTGTGTGTGTGTGTGTGTATGTATACACACACATATACTGGCCTTTAACACATATTTTACAACAATAATATTAGTCCCTTTATTTACTATTTTATTACTTATAAAAGGGCACTAACAACTAATCATCCAGACCTGGACTTTGTAAGATAAAGATCCCCGGGCCCCTTAAGCGGCAGGATAATCAGATAGCTTAGTGCACTACTAAAGGGTTGCATCTAAATCACAAGATAAAGAGCAAGAAAAATGAAAAGATAAAAAATAAATCAACGTCAAATTAGTATTAAGCCAAATCATTAACCACAATACTTACAATATATATTCATAAAGGTCCTTGAGCAATGTGTGACAATGATTACTTAAAATAGTGGTGTTCCCCTTTTAACTCACCTGGAGGTCTGTAAAACTGTGGTGACTTTGGTGGATAGGGCTGGATAGGACGTCTAAGATAGCCCTGTGTTGGTTCTGCTGTCAAGTAGCTTATGGTGTACACACGACTGAGGTCCTTGCTCAGTAGATTTTCTTTCTCAGGATAACTTCCAGTGTGTTTATGGCCGTACTGAATTAGAAATAAAAAAGCCAAACTTAATACTCCATTTCTCGGGACAACTTCCTGTATCTTTATGGCAATAGTGAATTAGAAATAAAAAAGCCAAACTTAATACCCCATTTCTCGGGACAACTTTCTATATGTTTATCTTTTTTTATTTCTAATTCAGTATTGCCCCAAACTTAATACTCCATTTCTCGAGACAACTTCCTCTATGTTTATGGCAACAGTGAATTAGAAATAAAAAAAGCCAAACCTAATACTCCATTTCTCAGGACAACTTCCTGTATGTTTATGGCAATACTGAATTAGAAATAAAAGTCAAGAGTTGATACTCTACTGCAGCAAATTAACAAAATGTGGAGAAGAGAGCTTTCTACCATCATTCAAAGCAACCTAAAGTGTAAAAAAATTTTAAAGTTCCTTTGCATACTGTTGTGTTCAAGTACAAAGGCAATTTTATATATATATATACAACTTTTTGTTTGCCAAGAATTGAAGGAAATGGATAAATGTAAGTCTTTTCCTTTTTGTTATTTATTAAAAAGGTTTGGTGTGGAAAAGCAGCTGGATAAGTTCACCCTAATGAAATAGGTTTTCATTTGTCTCAAATATTGCTTTATAAAGTTAACTTCAAATGCTTTACCTTTGCTTATTTCATTTAAAAAAATAAATAATTTATTCTATGTATTATTACATAAAATTAAATTTCTTCATTCCTAGCTTTCAAATTGTGGCAAACTGACTCTGAACAGTCTTATAATATCACACTTCTTATCTCGGCAAATCACAATATTCCCAATGCTCTAAACTAAGAAAATTTATAAACCAACTATGAAAAGAGACTAATATTATTTTATTGGTAATACAGTTTAAACAGTTCTTCTTTCTCAAAGCTGCCTCCATACTTGTTCCTTGCTAATGCCTATTTAAAGTGGTATATCTAAGTGAAACTATAAAACTAAAGATTGTCACAAAACTTCATGCAAACCAAACAAACAAAAAGTAAGACATACCAAAATTATGTGCTTTTTTTACATCATACATCACATTAAGGACATAACAATAGTGATTTTTGCCTAACTGCAATTCAGTGTTACGAGTCTACTAACCTTTCGTGTAAGCGAACCGTGCGGGCTTGCCGAGCTCGAGCTTGACGTACTTGAGGAATACGAAGGACCTACTGCATGCTAGCAGACAAACATAAAGATACAAAACACGTGCAACAAACTCCAACAACATCAGGCATTACTTAAGGATTCCTTAGCTCTCCTACAGGAATTTTTTTTAAATAATATTTTAGCTTAATAACTTTATGGAGAAGTAACAAGAATTGTAAATATCCAGTAACATGCATTATTTAACACTACTAAAACCAATTATTTAAAATAAAAATTAAATTAATCACATGCAATCCAATGACTTTCTTCAGGCTTACAACTCAAGTAATTCGTTCTTCATGCAAAATAAATGATAAATCTACTAGTCTTCTGATTGGTGTTCAGAAGCCAAACATCTAGTTTAAATGATGTTTCTATGATGTTAGACCATCTACATACATCTTCCGAAGTATTTGCATCTTTACTGAAAATACCTTTTATAAACCTCCTAAATTTGAATCAAATATTTAAATGTTAATAAATAATGAGTTGCTCAAGTATGAAATAACCAAACAACTTTAATACCTGTCCATCAACCATATCCTCTTCTTTAGTCTGACCATTTATATAACCATCAACTAACTTTTCTTCAGGAGCTGGTCCACAACTTGGATGCCAGATGGCGCCACCTGGAAGTTCAGTCTGAATTATTATTACTTATATTCTCTATCAATTTTTGTGTTTTAAGAAATGAAACATGAGTGTGAAATAGTAAAAAGTTTTTTTTGGTTGGTTGGGTGTGTGTATTTTATTCATAAAGAAGTATAGAATACTATTTAAAAATAAAAAAAGTTTGTAGTCTTTCAGAAGTTTTAATTTGTGGTTCTGTTTTGGTTTCTTTAAGCATTGAAAAACATTTTGTATTGGGTTTTGAACAAAGCAATTCAAGGACTGTCTACGAGCACTAGTTCTCCCTAATTCTGAACTGATAAATTACAAGGAAAGGCAGCTAGTCAACACCATTAGGGTCTATTCTAAGCGTTCTTAGTAATTGCATAAACGGAGGTGCAACAGACACAGAGGGTATCCGACCCTTCAATTTCCTGCCCCTTTCACACTTTAGCCTTTTAACAATTTTGTGAAATATTCAGTACGGAACATTGCTCATCACTTATGTTCACTCAAATTTTAAAATTGATACGAATCAGTTAAACTTACCGAACCCATTGGCACTGTTAACTCACTCTCATTAGTTAAACTGGAGCAATAGGACATGCATTAACTGTGCTGATCAAATTTATTTTGTTTGGTGACTTTTGCCCAAAGCTTATTGAGGGCTATATGCACTAACTGTCCCCAAATTTTATCAAACTATGGGATTGACCATCGCATTATAATGCTTTAACGGTTGAAAGGGCAAGCATTTTTCGATCCTGCAAACTGCGGTTTACGAGTTGAGCAGCTTGACTACGACACTCTTTAAAAAAAAAAAAAGAAAGAAAGATAATTCGCAGTTTTTCAAAAAACAAATCTTAAAATTGTGATTCTGTATTTGATGTACACAAGTACCAGTTAACTGCAACATTTACACTTTAGTATTAAAGCTATGAAGTTCTCCAGTCCAAAAAAAAAACTGCCAGAAAACAACTATCATAAAAATAACACGTATCCTTAGTTAACAAGGTAAACTTTTCAGAAAAAAAAATCTGAAATTAAAAATCTTCGTTATGACCTAGATAATTCCTTTTCTTCATCCATACTATTGTAAGTTCTAATAATAATATCTTGAAAACTCGAAACTGATAATCCGTGAGAAATTAGTTACCAACGATACTTACCTTGCATATACATTTCTTCACCATCACCAAAAGGATCACCACACTTAGAGCACCGGGCACAGCTTGGATGGAAATGGTGATCATCACCAGCCTACAATTAAGAGTGTATTAACATACCGTACAGTACAGGTACATGAAAATTTCATTCAATTTTTCAATCATGCTAATTCTCAAGATAATAATTTGATTAGGTTTTGTCAATTTTGAGGTAACAAATGCTTGCTTGAGAGAAGAGTTAGGTAGACGAAAGTCTATTGAAAGGCAGTGTTAATGGACTGCTTCTGTCTAGAAAGTTTTTGGATGTTTTGAGTTGTTAGTACACATCTGTACAAGCATCTCAAAATATCATTTCATTTTTAACAATTAATTAATGTTAATTATATATTATATTTTATGAACTCTGTGAAGCTACACAATAAGCACACTATTTCAACTTCCATAACTCTATAAAATCAGTTAATAAGACACTAGTTTTACTTTTAAGAACTTTAACGGCTCAATTAAAATATACCATTCTAGCTTTTACAACACTACAAAACTAATTAATAACATACTCATTTTGTTTAACTATGTAATGGTAATTCCCACATTTAAAATACATTTATAGGGAAGTGACAAAAACAATCTTAATTTGTTCTTTTTAAAAAAATCAATATTATTCTTTATCTAACTGTTAATTTAACTTACATTTACACTAGATGGCACCACTAACATTAACCCTCTGTAGAAGATATAGGTCCACTTCATGAACCTTGTAACCACCAAATCAAAATACAAAATTCTCAATAACCCCCTTTTTTTTTCTTTTTAGAATGACTTCATACTATAACTGACAATTACAATTATATAAAATATTCAGTCCTCTAACCTTTTCACAATGTCCAACTGCTGAGTTAGTGGAACAAAGCAATAAATCATCACCAAACACACAGTGCATGTCACAGTAAACAAAGTATTAAATTAAATCATGCATGAGCAGCTCTCACATACTTTCCTTACAGAGAAATTCTTTGTTGAATTTTTTTTTTTTTTGCCATTTAAGTTTTCTTATCTAACTTAACAAGTTTCTAATTTTTACATTTCAGTTACTTTTCAAGCAATAAATAAAATATATACAAACATAAAAAAATTAGTATTTTTGCATGAATTGTAATTTTTTTTCTAGTCTACATCTTGATAAAAGTTAACCCTAATTTTTGGTATGGTTGTCATTAGTACTTTACTGAATATTTATTATTTCTAATATTTGATTTAAAACACAAAATAATAACAACGTCCTAAAACTATTATAATTTAACTGGCTTTCTATTTAAGCTATACTAATTTTTTGGCTGGTCAAGGTAACTCAGCATTAGCAGAAAATGAAATTGAAGGCATAATAATTCAAAACCTGTTGTCAGAATGAGATAGCCTTATAAGGAATTCAATAAACTAAAATTGTCTCTTTCTATTGGTTATGAATAATCTAACAGTAAATGTCAGAAAAAAAATTACTGACATCTTTTGAAAGACAGGATGAGGTTGTTGTTGTTTATTATTAAGCACAAAGCTACACAAAGGGCTATCTGTGCTCTGCCCACCACGATTATCGAAACCCGGTTTCTAGCAGTATAAGTCCGCAGACATGCCACTGTGGAGCAATATGATACGAGAGCACGTCACGTGGGTGAGACCTTGTGGTTTATATCTTAGTAAAGCAAGAAGACTGAAAGATATAAAGTTAAACTATGTCTTAGCAGTATCTAGTTATAGGTGTAATGTTTAGTAAAACTCAGAAACTGGAAGAGGCGTAGAAATAAGATCTAAAATTGGCAAATACACAGAAGTGATGACTGAGAATTTATTTAAGTATTTCCATTTGAAATTAAGAAATCAAACCTTAGATAACACAAGAATTTGAATTTTGAACTGCTTATTCATGCCAAATTTATGAATATTCATTGATAATAAAATTTCACTTTTCAATGTACCACTGTTAGAAAAGGTTGTGACATGTGTAATTTGACCCACCTGTGTTCACAGGGTTAAAATATATTTTTTTACACACACCCACTTCACAGTTGTTACTTTTAAGTAGAAAGAGATACAAACTACACGAACAATAAAGCCATATGCATAACCCCACTTGAAAGAGTATTTAAAACTGTTCTTTAACACATCAAACCAGCACTAATGGCTTCTGCTCTCTCAAACCGTAGCACAATTCGTCAAAAGATGTACGTTTTTTTATTATTGTATACCTTACTTTTAAAATGCTTAATGAAACTAATTTTATTGTATATGAATATCATGATTAAGTACACAAAACTTGAAAGAAACTGTTAAGCCACTTTCGAAATGTCAGGTTTTCATATACGAGCCGGATTCTTTACAGTAGGTGTTTGTGATTTATTGGCAATAAATTTCGACAAGGAGCAAACAGCACAGAGTACACGTTTTAAAATAAGTCGTTACGTACATACAAATGTTCATTACATTGTTGGTTATCACAGTTTTATTATAATATAATCTCTGATAATTTCACTTTAAAAGTCCCCCACTATACGCTCTTTATGGCTAAACTCACAATCACACAGTCTAGATCTATCTAACTAGCTTGAACTACATTTTGGATGCATACTTATAGCCTGACAGGGGCCTAGAACATTCTACATACTACGAGATATTATGATGCAATAATACTCGATCAAAACAGTGAGAAACAATTAGAAGGTTCTAGTAACATGACACAATAATATAACAATTGCCAATTCATAACAACTGAATTACACAATGTGCGATTTGTAAACAGTTTGTGTGAACAAACCTGCAATAAATTATCGCTTCTAAAAATAACTAAATTTAACACTCGCACTATACTTAAAAATGAAAACGATCGTGTATATTTCACACATTTTAACACAATTCAGTCAGTCAACTAATATACTATTTAATGAAAACAAGGGGTTGAGTATGTTATATCAAAACGATTTAAAATAAGCAAGTCACATGAAAACTACAGCCTATATAATCGCACTGGAACAGCTTGGCAAAAAATTGATTGCTTTTGTAAAGGGTGTGTAATGGCCCTTTCCAATAAAAAAAAATATTCATCCTCTCAAATCACAAAGATGTGTTCAGATTGAAAATTCAGAATTTCCAAGATGGGGAATATCCCTTGAATATATTAATAGAATTGGTAAACAAAGAAATATGGAAAAACTCTGGGCACTAGGACCATCCAGAAAAAGATCTGCAACAAGCTGTACCCCATCTATGGTGAGCAGTACCGTATTAAACACATAGGCCATCTAGGCCAATGGCCCCAGCCATACAGGGGCCTTGCCAGCCACCCAAATAAAAAATAAATAAATATTGTTCCTAAAACTAGCAGAATAGAGACAAGAGTGAGTTATTATTATTAATCCCAAATATTACCTGGGCCTAAGACCCCACTAAACCTTAATCTGGCCATGATGGTGAGGAAAGTGTGGCATCTTCTGTAAGGTGAGAATCCACAACAAAATTATCAGTGGTAAAAGCCACCAACATGCCCTAGCCAAAAGTACAGAACATAATCTAGAAGAATCTGGAAAAGTGAAACAAAGCACATGTACACAAACTGCTTCCACAACATATCAATTCAACCATCACATACCTCAAACAGCTAATGAATGAAATGAGTATTCATGTTCTTCATACAAAAAAATACTGGTGAACCACCAGATGCAGTGCTTATGAATTTCTGTGCAACTGAACTGTTGAAACAAGCACTGGAAAAACCATCATCTACATACACTAGAGGGATTATGGAAAGTATTTAGGACAAAGTGGTTTGTTTAGGACATGACTAACTTATGGCAGAACCTTTAGCAATGTAAACTATGCTGCAGGGCTATTGCCAAGAGCCACAGTTGTTAGATAAGAGTACAACCAGATGTACCAACATGGTCCATAACAAATAATGAGCCTCCAAAATCATTTTAATATAAAACTCAACCTTTGTATAGTTAACACTATGAAAATATTGCAGTTAATATATATATATATATATATATATATATATATACACACACACACACACACACACTAC